TTTAGTTTCTTTGAAAGGGATTTATTTTAACTCTGCATGTTTCATCACAGTGACAGAAGCTGGTTTTGGAGCTGACATCGGGATGGAGAAGTTCTTCAACATCAAATGTCAGGCTTCAGGGCTGAGACCAAATGTGGTGGTGCTTGTTGCAACTGTCCGAGCGCTAAAGATGCATGGCGGTGGACCAAATGTAAGTCAAAAAATCAACACTGTCGTATGCTTGAAGTGCTCTGAACCTATTCAACTTAACTGCCTCACCTCATACTTTCTTCCAGCCCTAACCTTAAAATGTCAGATTCATTACAACGTCGTTCAAGATGTATCTCAGTCTACTCAGATTTCTATCTGATCTTGTAGAAGTTAAATAATCAATGGCATAGATGATTTCCAGGATCATGAACTAGCATGTGACTCTCGGTGGAAAAAGTTTTATTTTGCCAATACAATGAGTTATATGCTTTTGAAGAACCACTTCTGTCTAACTAGGTTATCGGATCATATTAGGTTTATCTTTGTCTACAAACAGACAATGTAAAATGTGCTGAGAAACATCACAAGGTTGCGTGAAGGTTTTTGTTCCCTTTTTGTAGACCATGGTTTAATTATCTGTCTGGTACCACTCAATTCAATCAAGTTGTTTTACTCTAAGAAAATCCTTGAAATGCCAATTGTCATATAATAGATAATAACTGAAGAACTATGCACATCATTTCCTGGTATTTATTGGGTAATTCAGCTTTGAGGGAATGAATGTTCCAAACTATTAGCGGTATATTTAGGCTGTTCTTTGAAAAAAGAAAAGAAACAAGGCGAGGAAACAACCAGTCTACATTGCAAATAAGAGTGGCAATGCATTTTTTAATGTAATATACTGACACACATATATTTCTCCTGTTTTCAGGTGTCAGCAGGTGCACCTCTTCCCAGAGAGTACATTGATGAGGTATGAACCATGTACATGTATTATACTATTTGTACCCACAGAGACAATAGGGGCCAAACTTATGGAGACAAATATGTCATTTTGTGTAAGAGTTCTTGTGTTGATCAATAACTTCTAATGAAGTTACAAGAACATGCTGAGCCTGTGTCATGAGATGAAAAGGTCAGGGTGTTTCCAGATAATGTAATCTATTTAAACTCAATGGTCAATGCAAGACAACAATTATGAAACAACATGCTCATTAACATAAGGGTTTTTTTAGCGGTGTGCCTGTGTTGTGTTCTTGGAGTGATTTGTCGTGGCAGCCATGCAGTTTGAGAGGTTAAACAGCAACCTCTTAACGTGGTTTTGTGGTCCTCGACATTCCCCACATGCCCTTTGGGCCTCTTACACTCCTGACCTTCCGTGGAGATGTAGAGGAGTAGACTAAATCTGAGAGGCATGAAGATGACTTATTGCAGCACAGTTCACACAGGTTCGTCCTCAACAAGCTCAGGAAATGGACCAACATTAAACACATTTGTAGAGATGTATGTTTGATTCTCCAGCTGTAGTCTCACAGACATTTAATTCCCCGTCTATATGCATAAATACCTCGCCCATTAACATGGTTAAGAGCACTTATTTGATTAACAGCACAAATAGAACCTTTGCATTTGGTTTCCGGGCATTTGGGCCTCAGCAGAGTGGAGGTGGAATTCTTTTGGTGTGTGTGTGTGTGTGTGTGTGTGTGTGTGTGTGTGTGCATGTTCATATCTGGCTGGAATCACTGGTCCTTCAGCTGAGTAAATAATGAAGTAGTATAAGTCAATTGTGACGCTAGTAATGAGAACCAGAAGTAGTGGAGAAAACAGGACCAGGGAAATGAATTTATGGACCTGTGTGGCCTTACTGCTCTGAGCCCGGGGCTGCACACACATGAACACACTTCCACAAACACACTGTGCTACATAAGGTTTTAGTCAAATTATAGTAGCTGTATATTATTCTGTTAATATACTTAGGATTAATGGACTTGCACATAATATTATTCAGTATGAGAATGATCAATGAAGAACCGTACACAGCAGGATACTTCCAGTTTATTAAGTCCCTATATTTTGTAGTAAAATATCAATCAATCAACTAATCAATCTTTATTTTTATAGTGCCAATTCATAAAAAGTGTTATCTTGAGGCACTTGACAAAAAGCAGGTAAAAAAGACCTTACTCATTAATATATAACAAAGACCGACCATTAATCCATCATGAGCGCATCACTTAGCAATGTTTAGCAAAGTTACAGTGGCAAGAAAAAAACTTCCCTTTAAGAGGTAGAAATCTTGAGGCTCATGATGAACAGCCATCTACCGAAACTGCGCAAGAGGCTACCTGAACCTGAACATGAGTCCCAATGTCAACAATATTCTATTTTAAAAACAATGCACCATATTAAATAAATAAAGCTAATTGTGTAAAAGGCTCCATACTTGTTCGTGAAAGTTCAGCTAATGGGAAAGTAGTCGATTAAGCCACTCAAAGTAAGCTTTCACTGGACTTTCAAACCTCCTCTCTTACACTTTAAATTTCAGCTTTGAAAGTGATTCTGCAATATAGGCAAAATCTTCTGACTTTATTACCTAATTTCTCTGATTATGGAATTAAAACCATTGAACTACTGAGGCACATACTACGCCTGGGTATTAGCATGTTGTCCTGTTTTTCCTTTAAGAATACTAAAAGTAGTCTGTGGCCATTTTTAACATTTTATTTTTGTAGCAGCATGAAATGCAAATTTTTACACCCACATAATATGTATCAAGACATAAAATCATAAAATTGCTGCACTGCTGAACAGAACAGGACTTTTCTTTAAAGGTATTTAGAACAATTAAAAAAAAAAATAAAAAAAAAACATTTTTAAGTGGGAATAACTTGTAATACCTCTTCTGGATCGAAAATGTAACAAGGCAAATTAAATCTTAACCACCAAGCTATCATAATTGGCAAGTCTAATCCACACACACAGCCTCTCAATTTTCTTCTTGTTTGAGTTTTTTTTGTCTGTCTTTGGTCCTTTTTCCTAGATTTTTTTTATGATAACTCACATGTGCTCTGGTGTATCACAAGCTATAGTACTTCATATAGATGATTGAATTACAATTGACCATGTGCTGATGTTTTCCTTTTTCTCCTGCAGAACCTGAGCCTCGTTGCAGGTGGTTGCCATAGCAATCTCAGGAAGCAGATCCAAATAGCGCACCTTTTTGGGGTACCAGTAGTGGTGGCGCTCAATGTCTTCAAGTAAGATGCATTCAGATGCACACATCCACAAATACATAAAGAATTTTCCATAAATAACTGTCTTCACTTACAATGTGTTGTCATTTTCGCAAAGTACTGCTAACAACATTTCCCTTGGTGATCCTTCAGGACAGACACTCAGGCAGAGATCGATCAGGTTTGTCAGATAGCCAAAGAGTGCGGAGCATCAGACGCTGTGCCGTGTCACCACTGGGCGCAGGGCGGGCGAGGATCCATAGAGCTCGCCCAGGCTGTGAAAGAGGCTTCCAGCAGACCCAGTGACTTCAAGTTCCTCTACCACAAAGAGGTGAGAGCAGAACCTGTGGAAGAAAATCTGCTGTTTCTGGGTTGAAAATTATATTTAAAAAAGTCCCCTCAAAACATTGTTTTACATATAATTGATCAACTCCGAGTCATACGTCATGTCTGTTTTGAATTGTTAGCTGTTTTTGTTTGAAGTGACTGATGATGTTTTCGTTCAGACTGTAGCCAGAGAATGCTGCAGTATAAAAACATCAGCTGGTTTCAGTTAGGGAGATTACTTTGGGAGAGTTGTGACTTAAATTAACTGATCTTGTTACGCTGATGCGTGTATGCGTGTATTCTGTACACTTACAAATACTACAAGAGTTTAGTACAATAGTTCTAGTTTTTATTTACCAAATCAAATTGAGGTACTGTAAAATGGGATGATAAGTAAGTAGAATATTTATTCTTCACATTTACAAGTTAACAAGGCAGCTATGCGGGTTATAGGAGTTAGGATAGGACTCTTGGATTGGAAGGAATCACCAGTTCGTCTTTAAAGGAGAAATCAGCAGAGTATCCAAAGTATCCAAAATAAACTCTTCTATGTAGTGTCGATTGGGATTGTATTTAAATATATTATAATACGGTTAATATGCTGTGCTGTCATGGTCCACACATAGTAAAGGTATTTTTTTAGACTGCAAAGAAAGCAGAGCACGAAAGAGAGAAGCAGTATGTAGTTTACATATTAAAACAGTCAAACATATTCCATGATGTCATTTGTGTATGTGTAGCTTTTAGTTACCTGTGTGACATCATGCGGATGTGTATTCACTAAATCTAATTCCCTGTGACTGGAGTGCTCATCATGCGTCTCTGATGCGTCGTCTTTCCCACAGATGCCAATAGTGGAGAAGATCAGAACAATTGCCCAGAGAGTGTATGGAGCTGATGACATCGAGCTGTCTCCAGAGGCGGAGGCCAAGATAGATTACTACAATCAACAGGTGAGATCACTGCTGCTGCTGCTGCTGCTGTAATAACATCTGACTACCTCAGCTCATCTCCTATCACAGTGTCTCTTTAAGTCTCACTTTCTCCCTGAAATAAATGTACAGATATTAACCACTTCTCCTGTTTCTTTTTTCTCCTATACACAGGGTTATGGTTCATTGCCTATCTGCATGGCCAAGACTCACCTGTCCCTGTCACACATGCCTGACAAGAAGGGTGTTCCAACAGGATTTGTTTTGCCAATCAGAGATGTTCGCGCCAGTATCGGGGCTGGCTTCATCTACCCACTTGTGGGAACGGTCAGTTACTCAAATGTGAAAAAGTTCTGATCAGAAGATGAATGCTGACTGTATTCTCTGTGATGTGTAACTCAGGGCTTGTTTTTTTAAAGCTCCTGTGAGGAACTTTCAAGTTGTGCCAAAGCGGAACAATTTAACTCTGCCTGATTATGTTATGTACAGTACACAGTGTTTCCGACAAATAATCCTTTTATGAATGTTTGTTGTAGAAATTGTTTAATAGGCTGTTTTAGCAGCATGCTATCCATCCCAACATCTAAAACCTATTTTGCAGCAGGGGTTGCAAATTATTAAAATAACTACGTAGAAGTAATCAATCCGCTCTTTTGACTGTCTCCTTTTATTTAGTAACTCATAGAGGGTCATTATTATGAGTTTATTCTGTTTCATAACCATCTTAAAGCTCTAAACAGAAGATACTACAGTATTTGTCCTGTTCTCCTGACTGCCATATAACTGAGCTGGTTAGTCCTGAGTCGGGCTGGCTGGAGCCTCTTGGTTGATGGTTGATGATGATGGGCCAGGGCAGGAAGGAAGCAGCCTCCTTAGCGTTTTTGCCTCCTGCTGTTTCACCAGCCTGCCCTCAGGTTGAGGCTTTGATAGGCTGAGGCAAAGGTGTCAAACGCCGGGCATGCTGGGGAGGCATGGGCAGCGTCTTGGTGTGGCGTCTGTCCAGTCTCCCAAAATGTCCTTTGATCTGCTGCGACCTGCGGAGCCACTGTCACGTTGACATCCCTTGAACTGTGACTCCTAACCCAAAGGGAGTCTCCAGACTGCTCTTTGAACTCTGAGGGGCAATGACTGTCTGCCTTACTGACCCATAGATAGAATTTTTGAAGTTATTCAAAGCACAAGTCAAACCCTCAGTCAAGGTTCTCAAAATATTCCAGAAAACATTTTTTTTTTTTTTTTAAATGATGAGTTCTTCTAATCATTTGATCCTGTACTGAATTAAAAGGCCCAAGAGGACCTGGAGAGATCACCCCAGTTTCGTATCAAAGATATTGAGGAGGCTTGCATGTTGCATGTTGCAGGGAGGCTACAGTGAGAATCTACATGTTCATTTCTGTCTACCATCACCTAAAGCCAAACCTAAAAGTATTTCACGAGACAGCTTCTTCTGTCAAACATTTTTCAAACATATTTTACTTCATAAAAGTTTGGCAAAGTCATCTACAAACTCTCAGGCTCCACTTGACTCCCGGAGGTGGAAAGTTATCACAAACAGAAACCCTGAGGTGATTAGGGCCTGAATGTGAGAGGAGGAGGAGGAGGAGGAGGAGGAGGTGGGGTTAGGGGGATGGGAGAAAAGGGTCTTTTATAGGGGTAAGAATCAGGAAGGGGCTGATGTCACTCTTCAGATATGTTGAGGGAGGGGTCGCTAGCAGCAACAATAGATCTCTGTAGAGATCATATCCCGTTAGAGCTGCCTCTGTACCATTAAACACAGTACAGACTTATAAAGACCCCCCCCCTCTTTGGTTGGACATTCCACTTAGATAAAACCAGTTGACGTTCAAAATGAATGCTATATAATGTATGAGGGAAGGGACATGAGGACAATATTTGGTTCATTTTAATTATGTCAGAAAGGGCAACAGATAACACACTCAGACCAGTTTGTTTGTATCTGTTGGATTGTGTGTTTTCATTATTATTCAGTTACAGTAAAAGCAACGCAAATATAGATACACAGTAGTGTTGTAGTCAAGACCACACTGACCGAGACCAAGACATACCCAAGACCAGAGTGTTCCGAGACAGAGTCAAGACCAAGACCAAGACAGGGCAAGACAAAGACAAGACCAAGACCATAAATATCACTGAAAAATCACCAACTTGTGTGGAGCGGGCGCATCACTTACTTAGACCTAACACCGGGAAGGTTTCGGCTGTAACTGGAGAATAAAAACAAGTTATTCATTCTTTTAGAAATAGGCATTTTCCTACAAATGACAGTAATGATGTGGAAAAATAGCCAATCAGTGGTGGGCTTGACCAGTCTTGATTTAAAATCTTGAGACCGAGATGGAGTAAAAATGCTTTTGATTCCAAGACAAGACCGAGACCTAAGATTGATTTGCTACTACACAGCATGAAAATACAAACAGGATTTTAAAGATTCGTCATTAATCATCTTAAGAAACCAGAGCTATTGTATGAATAACTTTATCTCTGATGTGTGAGTGCCGATCATGATTAATCCTCTGATGTTTACGAGTTCAAAGTGCCCTATGGAGAAGCTGTGCACTCTCACAGGTTAGAGTTCGACTAGATTTTGAAGAAGTTCCTGTTCAGTGAGTCATTTTACTCTCTGATTTTTCACATTTGTTGCAGCCAACAATATATCATTAAATCTACTTAAAGCCCAACATGAGGTGTATCTTTTTTTACTTGAAGATATTTAAAATTCAATCTGAAACTCTTATCTCCTTTGTAATGCTCCATTAAACTTAAATGGCATAATTGTTTTCGATTGAATTAAAATTCATAATCTCCTCAATCCCCTTGTGTAGCTACTGTGCTGTTATTGACCCAGACTCTCCTCCAGAGTCAGTGGGGGGTGTAAATCCAGCTACATTGTCTCCCAAGGCTTTCCCCTGACAAAGACGCATTGTGTGTGGGTATAATAGAGGGACTGATTTGGCCAAGTGGAGTTTCCAACTTTAGCCGTGGAGTGTTGTGTGTTTTTGTGACTGCCAACTTATTCTCAGGCTGGAGAGGAGGACCGGCAGAACAGCGCATCCTTTGTTGCTTTGAAAAACCTTGACAGTTTGTCTTTACATTTGAGCATATTTTGATATCTTACTATGCAGCCTGACACTTTGTATTGAAAAGCTGCGAGGCAAATAAAGTAATCTCTTTGACTCAAATTATGTTAAAGCTGTTTAGTTTAAATGTTTGAATGAGTTTACAGCCTTTGAGTCATACCTCCTTTTTTAATCTGATAGTCATTGTTGGCACATTTCATTGAGCAAAGAAGCAAAAGTGTTGGGTCTTTGTGAAGGTTGATGGGGAGCTTCTCTTTACTGATGTGTTCATCAGTATGCTTTTTGACCACGTTTTATGGGGATTCCTCCTCATTTCTATGGATATTAGATCTATATAAGGTTGATTATAAGGGGACCAACATTGCATGCCTCCCTTGTTTTTTAGTCAGCTGATCATTATTGCATTGTAAAGTACTTATAATGTGAATCTGTGAGGAAGTTCCATTTTAGTGCCCCCTGTAGACAAAGTGACAACCTTAATCTCTTAAATGATCGTCCGTTGTAAATGTTTAAATGTTTTCTAAGGAACATTTTCATTCTGCTATCTTTTTACTGTCAAAAGGTCTCACTACCTGTGAATCTTTGCAGGGATTTAATATCCTGATTTGACACTATAAACTACACACTGTACCTGAAGAATTTACAGGCATGAACAAAAACTATATACAATTATTATGTCTTTAACTTTTGTCGGTCATAAAGAGACCTTAGTGTGTTTCATAATCAGTTAAGAACTCCTCACTGGAGCTTCAAGTTCAGTTCCCTGAATACAGTGACGTTATCTAAAAGAATCCTTTTTAGTCTGTTACAACTGCATGATGTCAAAATACCCATGAGCCTTTGCCACCGTTGCTAATGTAAGTGCTAATATACAGCACTCTCCGAAATTACCACGTAAATGTAAATAAATTGAAGCTGCACTTTGTATGATCCATTCTTTCCGACGAGCTTTTTAATAGTGACATCATGCAATGTTCGAACACTGTGACATCACACAACTGAAAGCAACACAAAGGATGATGTCACTCTTCTACCATCATTGTTCTTAATGCATCCCGCCAGGATAAAGTATGATGCACTGATATTAAATGGCTGTCTATCTGCTCTCAGTCTGAGTCATCTGTGGCTAACATCCTGGATGGATGATGGTCTCGACAGCGTCATTTGACAGCACTCATTGTTTACATCAGACATGGCAAAAAAACAGAGAGCTGTCAAGCATCAACTCTGTCGCACCGTGTGAGCACGTACACCTCGTTTTCGTCTTTTCGTTTTACATGCAGAGTCGCGTTTCCTCAGACAGGAAATTGGCTGGTCACTTCCCTCTGTCTCATTCGGACTAATGGGCTCGTAAAGCCGCCCCTGGGTCAGAAGGAGGGGAGGCATGCAAAGAATGTCGCTCACTGTCTAATGAGCGAGATAATTAACTTTTTTTAGCTGGGACGGCGTGATCAAGCTCGGTTTAGGGAGAAGAAAAGCGCTTTTTGAGTCCAACAGTTACATGATCAATTTTAACTTAAAAAAAACAAAAACAAACGATGGTTCAGACAACTGACACAAGTACTCATTGACTTTTCATTTTACATTCAGATTAGTGCGGACAATAACTGGTTTTGTTTCCTTACATATCCTCCCTCTCCTGTTATTGGCACAAATGTAATAGTTCCATTAGGAAAAGTTCCCATTATCAGTCTGTTTTTTTTGTTCGTATCTAATTGAGTCTGTCTCCACTCTGCTTCACATGGCTACAATTCACTTTTGAAATGACTTCTTTTTTTTTTTTTTTTATTAATTTGACCCACATTTCTCTGTTGTCAGTTTAGGATGAATACTTAGAACAACTCTTGACTATTTCCAACACAAATTGCTTCTCTTTTTTAGTCAAAACAAAATGTAATTCTTTAAAACCTAGTTTCTTCAAACCCTCGTCCTTCCTGCAGTAACGCTGATCCATCAGAGCAGAGTATGACCTTGTATAGTGTCTCTTAACTTTGTCTCCTATCTGTGAGGTAGCCTTTTGTTATCTATATCATGACAACAACAGTGTGAACAAAGCAGCCGTTGTCTGTGTCCAGAGTCATCTCTGCTAAAGTGGATGTTGTCAACACATTGATCATCTTTCTGCCCGGAGATAAATGACTCTAGATTATAGTCATTGAACCTTTGGGTGGATGATTTTTTTCTATCTCATTGATGGTTTGATACTAAGTCTTCGGTTTGTACAGCTGTGTTTAGACAGAGGGCTTTTAATATGAGGTTGGAGTTATTATCCAGACTGCAATCTTACCTTCTCAGTTGGCTCTTTTGTCACTGACATTTTATGAGACTCCTACTTAAAGGAAAAAATTATGAACCAGCTGCTAGTTCTTCTTCCTCAGTTATAAATGATCATTAAGCTGTTTGAATCAAACTGTCTGTGCACTTTGATCATAAAGATTGCTTGAATACAGACGCCTTAGCTTGACTATGAAACTAAAAGATGAGGTGTCTTTGTTTGGAGGCTATATTCCTCTTCAGTGTTTTCTTTTATGTGAATGTTGTCTTGTGCCGATAGCCTAGAGTGCGCGCCCCATGTACAGAGGCTGTGATCCGCCAAGTGAGCCGCCTCGGTTAGAATCCGACTTGTGGCTCTCTTTCTGAATGTCAATTCTCACCGCTCAGATCCTAAGTGCTTATCTGTGTTTCAGCCATTTTTGTAACCTTCTAAATTTAAAATGAAAATAAAACCAAATCATCTTCCTTCACTTACTCTTTCTCTTCCTGCCATTAAAAGAAAGAGAACAACCCTCTCTTGTGTTGTTTCCATCAGATGAGCACCATGCCTGGTCTACCCACCCGGCCCTGTTTCTATGACATTGACCTTGACCCGGTCACAGAGGAGATCACTGGGCTCTTCTGAGCATCCTACACTAAAGAAAAACATTCAGGTATTCTCTCACACACACAACTATAAAAACATTGTCATTTTATATTCCAGTCATCTGAAGGAACTATCACTGTGTCATTATAAATATTTTAAAAGTGATCACTATGTCAATTAGTTGTTATATGAGACTTTATTTCCTCCCGGGGGTTTTCAGTTTACGACCTTCTTCACTCAGTGCCAAGGCTCGGCTCAGTGGAGCTGCTCTCTACTCCTGCACACATTCTAAAATCATCTTCCTGTTTTGCTTTTCTTTGTTCTCAGGACCCACCGCTCTTTCCAGACACCTTTTAACTTCCTGCACATCACATGAACATGTTCTGGAAAGCAAGAAACGCATCACTGAAGCCTTAGCTTAATGCTGTATTTGCACATCTTGTGTCATATGCCAAAGAAGACATGCAGCTGTATTGTGCGTGTCATATATGCTGTATGTGTGAATCCTCTCTGTACGATGTTTACTGTGCATAGAGAGTCGGTGTATGCAAACAATCTTGAATTAAATTTAATTCTAACTTTTCATAAACTTATAATTCCATTAATTTCTTGTGTGTTAAATAATTAACTGAGAAATCGTACAATGACGCTACATGTTGAAACATGTCTTAAGCTTTTCAACTGAAAAGGGGGCAGCTTGTTTATTTACTTACATGAACTGAATTGCTGTTATACGCACAGAAAGTTATTACGTTGGTTATGTAAACTTGAGTATCCTATCCTGCTGGATGCAGCTCTACTACCTTAGAATAATAAAAGTATGACTTCAGTAAATGTTTTATAAAGATTGTTTAAGTGTAGCATTTTATGGGAGGCACAGTTACATATCCAGCCTGACAGTGAAACTTGTTTTTGGAGCATTCATTAACACATTTGTTATTTTTAATTGCCTTAACAATAACCTTAAACAGCTCATTCAATGTTTGGTCTTCACTGTGACAAAGAAATACCTCTTCTAGAATCTCTTGAGGTTAATGCTTTATATCGTAAATGTTTACAATGTTTTGTGTTTGTGGTCTCTGATGTATAACCTCTTTACTTTTCACACTTTTGTCCCTGCTCGTACAGTTTCAGCTGGCCATGTTATCATAATCTTGTTTTGATTATCACATAGAAACATGATTAACGTCCAGTGTCTGTGTGTCCTGACCCGTCACTTGATGCGATTATGTAGTGACTGAAACACAATTGAGTAACGGAAGCTATTGTTTTATCTGAGCTAAGTGAAGCTAAGTTTTGTTGTACAAGCTCTACAACAGATTGAATGGTAAATAAATAAATAAATGAAAAATGTATTGTTTTTCTCATTGTATGTTTAACATTTTGGTTCTCAGAGGTCAAAGGTTTGTGCCTTTTCAAATAAACCTTTATACTTACTCCAAAAGTGTGTTTGTGTTTTCACACCCTCTAGTTAAATTGTGCTTCAGCCCATCTGTGTTTGCACACAAGGTCTCTCTTCCTGTTGTCTTCTCTAAATAAACACTAAATAAACTTTTTTTTCCTCTCTCTCTCTGTCACTTCACTCCCATATTTAAACATACTTAGTTTTATCAATCAATCAATTTTTATTTGTATAGTGTCAACTCACAAGTGTGAGTAGTAGTAGACTAATATCTGGTCCTGGAACTGTCTCTGCTGTATCAGACATATCTGCACCAGGTAAGGGCAAGAGGTTACTAATTTTGTCTCTGATGTCCAGAATTTTGTTGTTGAAAAAGCTAAGGAAATCATTACTGCTGAGGGCTAAAGGAATACAAGGCTCAATGGAGCTGTGACTCTCTGTCAGCCTGGCTACAGTGCTGAAAAGGTATCTAGGATTGCTTTTGTTTTCCTCGATTAGAGAGGAGTAGTAGGCAGCTCGAGCGTGACGTAGAGCCTTCATATGTTTTCTATGACTATCCTGCCAGAATAAATGAGATTCTACCATTTTAGTTGAGCGCCATATTCTTTCAAAATTTTGCGACGATTGTTTTAGAGTACAGATTTCTGAGTTGAACCATGGAGCTATTCTTTGCCGTTTGATAACCTTCTTTTTATACCATTTCTTTCTGTTTTTATACCAAAGTGCAGATCTACTGCCACAAAGTGCAGTCCCATTGTTAGAAGTGTGCCTGAAAGCCAACGGTCGTGGGTTGGGGAGGGGGCCCCCAAGCAGCACCCCCGGGTGCAGCATCTGTCATTATAAGGTGTTTTGGTTTGCAACATGGAGCCAACATGCATGTGTGTGCCTGTCATAGCTGGCATTCCACACCTGCTAGGTCTGTTATTCTGTGTGTTCACCAGGCAGGATCTGGCTCTTTAAGTACAGTCAGGGCTGCAGGAATGCTCTCATTTACAGTAGTGCTCCAACTGCATATTTACTGTGTGTGTGTGTCTGTGTGTTTGTATTTAAGTGTGAGACTGAACCCTCTTGTTTGGAGCTGATGACAGATTTGACGACACAGTGTTGATGTGGAGAGGGCTTCGTCACTGCTTTGTAATGTTCTGGAAATCCCCCACAGTGTCAAGTTAAGAGTTGTTGACGCTGAACTGTAGACTTGATCTGCTGTAGCCTCCAGTTGTTTAACATCTTGTCTTTTAGCGCTCATATTTAATAGTCTGCCTAATTTCAGTACCAAGGACAGGTCCTGTTGAATGTCAGTGTGAGTGTGACATGAGAGCTGCTGGAAAAAATACATTTTCAGACCTCCAGAGGCCTGATTCGTAGTATTAACTGCCATTAAAATGTAAAATTGTAAATTTGAGTTTGTAATATTTTTTCACTTTTTTTGACTTTAACATTTACATTTTGTTCTTGTAAAGTTTATGAAATTATAAAATCACATCTAAAATACAGAAACCTGGAGCCAAGTTATTCCATAAAAAGAAGAACGACTCATTTTAGGAGTCTTTAAGAAACATATCAAAGCTTTTTTTTTTTATCCATTTGAACCAAGTGTTTGAAAACTTGGAGGTATTAGGGAGGACAAAATTGTCAATTAATAATCAGATGACATTTTGACTTAAATGTGGAATCTATTTAAATTTATTGAAAACACAAAATGTTTAAATTCAGTTTTAAAATATTTCCCATATTCTTGTCTAGTCTTGAAAACCTTGGTGTTCACTATTACTCATCAATCAATCTTTATTTTTGTAGCGCCAATTCATAACGAAAGTTATCTCGAGACACTTTCCAAAAAGCAGGTCAAAGACCTTACTCTTTGTTATGTTACAAAGACCCGACGTTAATCCATCATGAGCACAGCACTTAGCAAAGTTACAGTGGCAGGAAAGAGCGTCCTTTTAAGAAGCTGAAAACTTGGGCAAAACCAGACTCATGATGAACAGCTTCTGCCAAAAGTGCACTGGGCTTGAAAAATGGGGATGAGGAAGATGCAGGAAGAAGGATATGGACAAATGGGGATGGGGGTGTCCATAGCAGTAGGCCGTCCCCACCAATGATCCTGAGGAACCTACAAGAAATGAGATGTAGCAAAAGTGTTGCACTATACTTTTTGTATAACTGTGCTCTCATTTGGGTTTACAAGAAATATATCTTGAGAAAACTTGTTTTTAATATTCATGCTTTACTTTACTTTTTTTTTTTTCAGCCAAAGGGTGTTGTCTGGTAACGTCTGTTCTTGATTACATTTCACATTTACATTCAGTCTGGTAATCATTATATAAAAACAGCTGTCCTTGTTTTTGAGCGAAACCCCTCAACTTGACTCATTGATTGTAACAAAGTATGGACGTGTCAGCCCCCTGCTGGGTCTGGGCGAGCTCTGGCTCCATGCCCACACCAGACATCAACCCTCAGGGCCGCATTCTTCAACCCAGCCCGTCTGAAAAACACCACACTTCCCACCATTGCACTGTTGCTGTTTTTTTTTTCAGAAAAATGCACTCAGTGTATCAGCTGCAGGTCCTGTGGGAATGTCAACGTTTTCACACAGATACATTTTATCTTTCTGCATATTTGCTGGTTGTATCTGATAGTGACATTTTTATTTGTGCCACAAAGTTAACACAAGAAGATTCTCCATCCTACTGTAAATATGAGTGTGCATGGTGTGTGTTGGCATGCTATTAATGTGCCCTAACATTACTGTTTTATCGAGCTAAGGCCATGACACATCTGTTAAAGGCTTTCACATTAATGAAACTTCCCCTATCTTCCTCCACTACTCTACTCCTCCACTCCTCCCCTCCTCTTTTAGATGACATCAGCGTTCCTGCTGAAAGGACTGCCATGCTGAAAGGCCTGCCATGCTGAAGGTCATTGACAAACACATCCATCTACATAGACTATAATGTAACTGTAATGAGGTTTCTGTAATGGTTATTCTGTACAGCAGGATGTGTTTGATTTACCCCCATGTAATTTAACAACAAAAGCTGCCTGTTTTCATGAGCCTCTGATATGCTTAACTAATTTGAGATATTTTTGGGTCCTAAAGTGAAATTGTATTAACAAAGATTGGGAGATTTAGTTGAAATCATCATCGTTGTGGTCGTCATGGACAGACTCAGGAGTCGATTAAAAGTAATATTCTGCTTCACAGTCACAGTTTAAACAGATGCACTCAATGCCTGACCTCAATCTACTTCTCCCTGGTCCAGTCTTACTTTAACATGTACGGGCCTCTTGTGGAAAATCCCACTGACCTTTT